ACACCGCGGCCCGGGCCCCCCGGGAACACACAGCGCGAGCAGAAACGAGCGCCCCTCCGGGCGCCCCGCGGCGCGGGCAGAGCTGCCAGCCACAGTCTCGGAGCGCATCGCTCGGTGATTCGGGCCTAGGGGCTGCGCCAGGCTGAGGGCTCTGACAACCAGCCTCGTCCCGGGGAACTGAACCGCAACATGCAGGAAAACCGACGGAGCACAGCAGAGAGCCCTTTTTCCCTATGGCAAGATCTATACCTGGGAAAAGTTCGGATTACAAATCCCCTGAGAACACTTCACTGAGTGTCCCACCCTCCTGGAAGAGAACGTGGCAAGTACCTGCGCATCTGAAGGAGAGAGGGAACCGAAGCCAACGGAGTTCAGCTGTGACTCGCGTTCTGCTCGCCCGCTTTTGGCACTACGGGGCCGCTCACCTTCAGCCCAAGCGGCGCTTTAACCAACAGCACGTTATTTGAACAGAAGCCTGAGGCCGAGCCCCACATCTCAAAGCCCATCACCCTTCACAGACAGCGCGTGGGCAATGAGCAGTTGTCTCCGGCACAAAGCAGGAGGGTTTTCTCGGTACCCACTCGCCCACATGCCACAGGGCAGATCCTCATAAATGGAGAACTGAGGATTCACAGTAACTGACCAGTGCACTCATTTATGAACTGTTCATTATCTCTGGGTACTACTGAGAACTACTACAACCACCCGTGAAATCTGTCAAAGTTGGATTATCTCATGATGCAGGCTGTTTCAGGAAATTCCAGAGAAATTCACACAGCCAGCTACTTAACATGAGAGCTACTCAGAAATATTTACTTGGACCTACCCAGAGATTTGTTTTGCTCAGCAAACACTAAGTGCTTGAACTCATTAGTGCCTTTCTAAGCAGCTATAGCTTATAAAAATCAGTATTCTACACGTCTTGTTCTGGAAAACATTTGCATCTTTCACATCAAGGCATTGTTCTACTTCTGCTCTGTTTTTTTCAGTGCATTTGAAGCAACCTTGAAACAACGGCTAGACAGTATAGCGACCAGCTGCACAAGCAATCCCTCCCATACTTCACACCCAGAATTGAGGTGGAGTTTCAAAGCAGTATGTCATTTTGGTTAAAGCATACCAAAACTGATAATGTATTTACGCAACAGATTTTTATGAAGTTTGCTCCTCTCTTCCTCCATCTTCCAAGCACGCTAGAACAACATCAGCAGCATTCAAGCCATTTGAAGATACATTTCTGTATTTAAATTTGATATTAGATATTTAGTAACTGAACAGAACATAAAGAGAACATGATACTATTAGTCATGTCCCTCCATCCAAAGACGTAAGTCAGAGCATTTTCCTGGTATTTCCGGCTGCAGTCACAGATTTCACTAAAGCTACAGTTTGGAAAGCAACATGAGCCACTCTGGTCTTCTTCCTTTATCCATTTGCAAACATTCTGTTGGAATTTACAGAGGACTTCCAAATTGATTCCCTCTTCATTCTATTTCAACTTTCCTTATAAACCAGACAGGTTGGCATATGGGGGCTCTTAATCTGTTTATTCTGCCTCTAGAGTTACGTTTGCAGACTCACTGTGGTTATCTGCAGGTTTGCCAGTTCCTGAGTGGTTGTACGCAGTGCTGGCTGCCAGGGAACGGCCACCTTACCGCTGCACCTCCACTGCCGTGACCAAAGAACAGCACACGTGAGAAGTTAAACGGGCACTTGGAAGACTAGCAGACTCCGTAAGAAGGAAAGAACACCCTCGGGTAACAGGATCTTTGAATGCAAAGGATGAACTGAAACCACTATTGCCTGTGAGGAATTTTACTTTGCACAACCCTTAAAGCTATGAAATTCCTCTCAACATAAAAAGTGGAAAAAACCCACCAGAGAACAGACAGGTCACTTATGGACCAGTCTGGGTCATCTAGAATTTCTCCTAAGATTAAATTACACCCCTGCGTGAATCACATTACTTTTCATCATAAAAGCTTTCCATTCTAACACCTTATTTACACAGATTACTAAACAAGTCACTACCACTTCAATCTGTAAATTAGTTTTAAATTGAAATATTTCCTAGTCCTCATTTTTTTGTACCGAAGACAATACATACATACACATAAGGAGTAATACAGGTTCTAACTAATCACTGCAGTATCTTCTGATGATTATTCTTCTATCAGTTTAAAATAGTGACCTCTACACTGAGGTGCTAATATGTATATAAAAGCCTACACAAACAATATTGCACAAAGTAAGATTTATAATAGAGTAACATATTTTAGAGACCCTTATAAAGAGAAGAGTAATAATCAATATTAAAAAGATGCATCCAGAACTAACACAGCATCTTTGCTTTTGTCTAGTCTAACATAGTGTTTCAAATCTTTCCTACCCCAGTGAGGATTAGAACAAATAAAGTTATCCGGAGACAGCTTCAGTTGCACCAAAACCCAGCTTGTACTCTAAATGTGGGAAGGGGAGGGGAGAGGGAGAAAGGGACAGGGCTTTTCCTTTTGATGACTGGAAAGGGCAGTAATAAATGGGGTGAGTGAAAGTCAAATACAGACTACACGTCAACATCGAGAAATATCGAAATATTGTTTAAAAAGTGTTGATAGCTGACACCCTACATATTTAGCATGTGCCACTGATTTTTCCACAGCACCTGGGCACCCAGAAGCTACACATGGAAACAGCAGTCCAATGCCATAATACTTTTATTGTGAATAGTAGTACATCACTTCCTAGGAGGAGGAGAGCCTTGCTGTGTACGTCAGTTCCCAGCTCCACGCTATCACATCAAGTGCATCAGGACACGGGAAAGTGTGGTTCCACTGGACACGCTACGACCCGACCAAAACAAGCTGCCAAGTTGGTTAGTATTTTAAAGCCTTAAAGTGCTCAAAGATAGCAGTTTCCTCCACAAGACTACCAATAGGTTCTCTAATTCTGACACTAGTATTAATCACGTTCAGGGAAGATGTATTTTGGAAGCAAAACCCTCGGATCGAACATAAGCAGTGCTATGAAAAGCATTAGGTCAGTAAGTCATTGCATTTCAACAGGATCAGACACTTTCTTCAGTTCAGGTTACAGATCACCTTTGTAGGAACCGTAAGAAATAGAGATCAATTTCTACAGCTTGTATATAAACCAACACATCAAGAACAGACATACCAAAAATTTTCACAAATCATCAAAAGTGCTGTGCTTTCTCTTTTTTTTTAAAGCAATTAAAATGAGATGGGAGAGTCACTTTGCAAGTCTTCTACAAAAGCATCACTTTCTGGTGAAGATCAGAGATAAAGTAAAAGTAGGGAAATAACACTGACCAATATATTTGAATCATTTTAGGTTCCTGGAGGAATTTCATCCTGACTTTGAGGAGATATTCAATATCTCTTTACTTAAACAGAAAGAAGTGGTAGACCACTGTTACAGGTTGTACTAAGGGGTTAAAATACAACTTGAATTTTGCATAATCTGTGTAAAAAAGATATGCTTGACATTTTGGAATGTCACCTTTCTTTATAGAATTATAGGCAAGATTTCTCCAATAAAACATAAGCCAGTTATAAAACTATAACTTCACATCAAAATTTTAAAAAGTTGTTAAAAAAACGTTTGATTATATACATATCACACAGAAGAGCCTGCATGATCCTGTGGATTGTGTTGCTGATCAGACTCTATTTTAAAACCTGGAAGGGGCTGGGCCACCTGATCTGGTTGCACAAGTCCTGATATTGAAGAAACAGAGGAGGAGAGCGCCCCTGTCGTGAGCTGCATTTCTAGCCCTGGTTCTTCAGACTCTGATTTGACACCCTCACTCTGGGGTTCGCCTTCCGACTTGGTCTTTCCAGGAACGCTACTGTTCAAGCTTGGATTGCTTTCTGCACTCTGAGCAGTCTCCCCCACAGGGTGATATTGTTTAAGTCTTATGTGCCAGGCTAAGCTGCAGACTGCTGACACTGTTTTGAACTGATGAATGACATTTCTAGGGATGAAGTAGATGTCATTGTCACACAACTGAATTCTAGCATAGCGAATGCCTTCCCGTCTCATTTGGTTTAGTTTGGCTTCGTCCACCCATTGAACACACTGAGAGAAGGAAAGACGGCAAAGTTAGTGGTGTATTCTGTTCAGAGTCAGCAAATTCAGTATCATCTATTTTCAGCCCTGCTTTGTGTCTAAATAAGAATGTTTAACACATAAAACTTCAAATTTAAACATGAATTGGACTTTTAAAATACCATTTGTCTCGTTTGCACATCGCAGAAGGGGACAACGAACAGTTAAGAGCGTTGTGCAGCTGAGAACAGCAGGCTGAGGGGAGGCTGCACTGTTCTGGCTGACAGGACTGAGCCCAACCCAAGCCAACGAGAGTCGGTACCTGTGACACTGGAGGTTCATGCAGGTCCAGCTGAAGTCTCTGCACGACGTCAGTGAAATCTTCAGCATGGAAACAAACCACATCTTTGGTTATACGAGGCTGGTCACTCCTAGAAAAAGATGAGAATTTGAGGAATTTTTGAAGAATCTGAGATTTAGAGAACTATAGCTCTTTACAGCAAGAAGTTTCATTGAACCAACGACCTACTTCAGTTTTACACTGCACATTAGGTCTCACCACTTCTCGATACACATTATTTTGAAAAGGAGGTATAATTCATAGATTTCTCTTTTTGTTTTAATTTTACTTCTTTCTTGATGGATACACAACAAAGCAATGTTTTCATGGACAAATACTATACCGAAGTGTCCAAGAATTAGGTTCAAATCGCCACTATCACAGTTCTCTGTATGTTCTAGGAACCACAACTGGCCTCAATTCTTCCATGCTATAATCAGACACAACAATTCCGTATTAAAGGAAAAACATAAAGTAACAAAGTAACTCTGAAGGCAAAGCAATGAGGAGCTGGGCTTTATTCAAGGGCTGTGAATCCATGGCACCTTTTATTCATATGAACATCTAATGATGCTATCCAATTTCTACTGTAACTGCTAGAAACGAAAGTGACGCAAGTCGAGTTTCTGTGCAAGGTCAACAGCAATGTCCTGGGTACGTGAAATGAAAAAGCCCTGCAGCTGTGAAATGGATTGCATTGAGTTCTGAGACGAGTTACAGAAGTTAGCTTTAGTATACACCGTCAGGAAAAGAACAAGCACGGATGGTGGTCCAGGCATGGTATCTTAGGGCTTATTTCGTACATCACTAAAGTTTTCTGCAAACTGTTGTTACAGCTTTTCTACTGCCTCAGGAAGAGGAAAAAATAGTAGGTATACAGTTTGTATTTTCCAAGCTCTAGAGAGCACTTATCTCATTACACGGTTTAAACTATTTCTTTGATTAGGTTTGTTCTCCAAGGATTTTTTAAGAGAGAAAATGCTTACAATTCCCCCCTCCTACTCGAACAGTTGCATTTCAGCGGCACTTACCATTCCCCAAACTGTACAGCCTTCAGAACACCTACAGCAGCTGTACTCTGCCAGTCAAACCCTTGGCCCACATGATCAGCGTGAGCTCTTGTTCTGTCTTCAAACAGAACCTCCCGGGGCTCGCTGGTCCGAGGTAGGTACTGGAGATTCTTTATTTCATTCATTGACCTACAACATGATAAACGGGCATACTGAAAAACGTTTCAGACTACTCAAAAATGAAAACTTATAT